CTATATGTATGTAATTCACATTTCTGTACAAATAACGCAGACATTATATCCAAAATGAAAAAATTAAATCATAAAACAAAAACAAACTTCTTCTCTCTTTTCGAGTCGATAGAAATACTGTAAATAACGCAGTTTTCAAACCTGAAGCACGAACACTTCTGCTAAGACCTAAAACAGCTGCTTTTTAAAAAACAAATGAACTATTTTACACTGAAACAAAAAACCTCGGTGAGCATCGACAGGGCCTTGTGTACATTAATAAAGCCGCCATCACATGTCAAACACTGAAGGGGGGAAACATTTATGATAAATAAAATCAGATCTCATGGCGATAACAACTCCTACTGACTACATAACTAATTAAAACAACATAAGTCGTACTGGCGGTCTGGTTTTATATATATATATATATATATATAAATATATATATATATATTTCTGATCAACATTCAGGTCTGATCAACTTCTTTACATTGATTATTCATCCAAACAGAGAAAGAAAAGGAACTCCAGACACAGAGAGGAGATTTAAATCGGACGTTAGTGATGATACAAACAGTCATTTTTAGTAGAAGCTGGATTTAAAAACCTCCTCTGGTTCACATCTGTCTACAGCTGTGAAGTTAAGGATGCACCAAGCTGACTTTTAGCCCCCCTGACAATGTAAATCCCTCAATTTAACTCATTTATTGTAGAAAAATAACAAAAAAAAAGGCTCCTGCTGAGAGAATGAAGCCAACACTTTGTGGTAAATCAGACGACTTTATGCATCGGGGACGCTGCGTCCCTCCATTAATGAACGTTAACTCAAAACCGGAGCAGCAGGTTTTATGACACTGATGAGAGTCTGTATTCAATCTGAACCTCTGCCTCTGGATCAGTTAGTAAATTAGACCAAAAACTGATTAAAAAGTGTCTTTTTTTAAATAGAAATCCTCACTGTTGTTTATATATTTGACTCCGATGTTTGAGGTTTGTGTTCGAGCGACGAGAATCACTTCCTTCCTAAACACTGAAACGGATTAAATGTGTTCAGCTTCGGATATTTTCTGGTTTCACAAACTCTCTTTCCTTCCTGTTGTATGTAAAACTCTGAATCCTCTAAAGGGAACTCAGGAAATCACTTTTTTTTTTACAACTCTGATCTTATTTTTGTAGTTTTCAGCTTCACTCTTACAAATAAAATAACATCAGACTAACTCAAAGCACATAAAACATCGAGCCATCAGATCGGAACCCCTTTATTTGGAGGTCAAACTGAACGTGAGCACACGGTAATAATCCGTCACTGTGCGGGGAACGCTGTGTGTACGCTACGTTACACCGATGGAGGATGTTTACTACTTTACTTTACTTTCCCCGATAAGTTTGTCCAACCTGGAGGTTCGTTTATATCTGATCATGTGACCCGCTCGCTCAGCTATAAGCTTCATTAAGTTGCTGTTAATGTTAGAATTACTGATATAAATAATAAACAAAGCTACGAAGTTGCGTTGGCGTCTGTTGTTTACGGGGATATAATGACTGAGTGTGTTAAAAGTGTTCCAGCAGAGAGACGCCGGTGCGGCTCGGCGCTCACTGCGGAGGAGGGTTGTGTTCGGCGTTGTCCACCGTCCTGATGATGACGATCTGCTCCAGGCTCTGGGCGGGGGACGGCTCGGAAACGTTGTCGATGTGGTCCGTGTACTTCGAGATCATCATCTTCTCCGGGCTCTGGGCGGGGGACGGCGGCGGCCGCAGCTGCTCCACCAGAGCGTGGAGGGTGTCCGAGTTGATGGTCTGCTCCTGGTCCGGTTCGAAGGTCACCTGGTCGGCGGCGTTGATAGAGGGGCGAGCGGACTCCGCCTTGAAGTCCTGGATGATGGTGTCGGTGTCGGTGGCGGCGGCGTCAGCGGCGGCGTCGTCGTCACCGGATGGCGCTGTGGCTTTGGGGTTTGGGGTGGTGGGTTCAGGATTGGGTGGCTCGCCTTCGGGGATGGAATCCATACCTTTGTTTTCTTGGGAGAGTTTGCTCTGGACAAACGCCACAGGATGACTGGAGGCCAGGAGGACGACTGCTCGCACACAAACACACAACAGGAAGGCGTCAAACAAACAAACTACTGACGGTTCCAGCACTGCAGGGCGCCATGAGGATGTTAGAATCAATAAACTCAAGACAATACAACAAGATGTTTCTGCTGTTGTCAGATTATCCATTACTATAAATGATTTACACACACACACACACACACACACACACACACACACAGACAGACAGACAGACACACACACAGCTCACCTGCTCGGGCTCTCTCCTTGTGTTGTCGCACTTCGTCAGCGTGAGCCTTCTCCTGGTGTTTGATCATGTTCTTCACGCTGGCGAACCTGTTTCCACACAGCAGACACTGCACACCGGTGTTCCCCTCTACACACACACACACACACACACACACACACACACACACACAGGAAGGAAAGTGTGATTAAATCCAGCTTTCATCTCCTCGGATCACTGAGGAGCAGCTTTGTTGATCCAGGTCACGTTTCTGAGGTTATACGGCGAGAAATGCAACCGCAAAGTCGCAACTTTAAATTAGATTATTAAACTTTCCCCAACTGGTGTCCTGTAACTTTTAAAGGACTAGTGTGTAGGATTTAGTGGCATCTAGTGGTGAAGATGCAAACTACAGTGGCTCCAAAAGAAAATTATTTTCATATTCATCTATTAATTTTAGATTCTCACTACTTTATCAGGGCTGCTGTAAAACACCTGTTAGCGACAGGTAACTTCTGCAGTGTTAGAGAGGTTGTTCTAGCCGGCTCAGTTGTGGCCAAAGTCTAAAGAGTTAAAGGTCACATCTGATAAGAATTTAACCTTGATGTTCTTTGCAGGCACTGAATCCCCCACAAGGGTTGGGTACCGAACCTCACACGATCTGTATGCAGCACCGAATATCAAATAATCTTTTTTAATTAAACTTTAATCAGATAGTTTCAAAATGTTTGTAGTTTAGGGAAAGTTCTTGTTTTTAGAGAAGCTTTAATAGAGAAAGAGAAACTTTTAACTTCTCTTTGCTGAAGAGTTTTCTAGAGAAATATTCATGTTTGTATTCAGAGATCAAAGAAAAGTCTGATGTGTGATCAGTGAACTCACCTGGGTGAAGTCGTCTCATGTGTTTCTTCAGTTCGGACGACGTCACAAAACTCGAGTCGCACTGCGGTTGTGAACATTTGTACGGCGTCTCACCTGAAGTGCAAACACAGACACAACATTATTAATGGAGGAATAACACTTCTTCTAAATGTTGTACAACATCATTCAAAACCTCACTGGGAAAAACATTAATATACAATCATTTAAAGACACCTTTAGACTAAAGGCTAAACACAATACACAAATATAAATCAATCATTTATACAAAAAGACAAGTTAAATAAACGCGGGGCTGAAATAGAACGCTCTTAAAAAAGGTTCACACATACTAAATCTAATTCAACTCACTCATCTCTAGCTGCCTTAAATCAGCAGTTTTCCTATGGGAGTTTTGTATTGGCAGCTACCACAAAGCTAGCAAGTTAAAACATTGTCACTAAACATTATGCAAACAGCTGTTTACGATAATAAAACCCCTCAGTCGCTCTCTGTTGGACGAATAAACGTGGACTTAATCACCTGTGTGTTTCCGCGCGTGAGCGATGAGAGAAGACGAGACGGAGAACGACATGCCGCACAGGTCACACTGGTAGGGTTTCTCTCCGGTGTGCCGCCGCTTGTGATAGGTCAACGTGCTGGACTGAGCGAACGCCTGACCGCAGATGTCACAGACGTACGGTTTCTCCCCGCTGTGCAGTCTGCGAACACACACACACACACAATAAACATTAACATCTGCACAACGTTACAACCTGCAGGTAGATAAAAGGAACACATAAAACATCCACACGATCACATCTTTATTTAATTATTCAGTACCGATGTTGAAATATATTATAGAATTTTATAGTTATTCTCTATCATTACTTTTATTTTCTTGATTAATATTTAATGATATGTAAATATATACGTATACGGTACACTAGAACAATAAATCTGGAGATTAGTGACAAAAACTGCAGTTTATTTTAGGCTGTTTGTGTATGTTTGAGTCCTTTACGCCTGTATGGGTGTATAAATGTATAAAAAACTAAACTTAAACTTAATAATAATAAAAGAAAATGTCAAAATAGTATCAAACGTCAATGTCTGTACCTGATGTGTATTTTATAGTTGGACGAGGTAGCGAACTTGAACCCGCAGCGCTCACAGGTGTAAGGCTTCTCCTCCCCGTGGTGCATCCGGCGGTGAGCGACCAGCTGACACTTCTGAGCAAAACATTTGTCGCAGTCGGAGCAACTGAACGGCTTCTCGCCTGCAGGAGACACCGGAGGGAGGGAGAGAGAGGGAGAGAGGAAGAGGGAGAGAGTCGCAATCAGTCATTTTACTATGTGGCTTTGCTGCTTGTTTTAATATATTTAATAAATTCAAAGGGAATCCGACCAGGTGGCCCTCATTAAGAACAACTACATAGAAATATCCAATGTGTGTCCACTAACAGCTGATCCGTTACTCACCTGTGTGTATGCGCAGGTGAGTTTTCAGCTGAGTAGCTTGTCTGAAGTTTTTAGAGCAGAAGATGCAGACGAAGGGTTTCAGGCCCTTGTGGATCTTCTCGTGTCGGTGGAGGCTGCTCGCGTCTTTAAACTGTTTGTTGCACTCGGTGCACGACAGCGACAGCTCGCCCATCTCCGACAGGTCCTGTTCCCCGACTTCACCCTCCTCTTCCTCGTCCTCGTCCTTGTCCTCGTCCGTCCCCGCCCAGCCGCTCTCCTCCGCCTCCTCCTCCTCCTCCTCCTCCACCACCACCACCTTCCTCCTGCCTCGTCCCCTCCCTCTCCCTCGGCCTCTCCCCCTCCCCCGGCCTCGTCCTCTCCTCCCCTCTCCGCTGCTCAGGCGAGGGATCTTGACCGGGACGTCGTCGTCGTCGTGCGAGGGGCTCCAGTCCGCGGAGGTGTCCCCGATGTCCTTCACGCTGGTGTCCGAATCCTCCAAAGACAGATCTTCACTCGTCAAACCAGCTCTCCCTCTCCCCCTGCCTCTCCCCCTCCCTCTGCCTCTCCCCCTCCCCCTGTAGCCCTGGGTCTTTGGAGCGGCCTCCGCCGAGCTGCTCGCCTCCGCCTGCTCGCTACTAAAACTCTTAGGCCTGCCTCTCTTCCTCCCCTGTCCTCTTCCGACGCTCTTCGGCGTAGTGGGGGTGTACTCATCATCACTTTTGTCTCCCTCTTCCACGTCTACGTCTTTGACCACATCACTCTGCTCTTTGCCGTCCTTCCCCTCGTCTTGCCAGTCCCCCGCGACGGAGACGATGGACAGGGGAACGGGTGAGCTGGGGCTGCCGGGGGAGGCCGGACTGGGAGGGGAGAGACCGGCTTCTTTATCCGCCTCCGACTGGGACGTTTCGCTCGGCTCGGACCAGTGAGGGAGTTCCTCCAGATACTTTGTGGCCTCGGACATTCCCAGGAACACCGCCGCTCGACGCACAGCCGCTTGTCTGGTACTGAAACCATAAAAACAACCAACATTTTATTCAGTAAGTTTGTTGTTTCATTCTAATTCTCTTTAAAAAACAAAAACACAAACACAAACAACCTATATTCACTCTCACCTGCTGACGTTCATCTGTCCGGTGTAAATAAACTCTAAAAGCTTCTCCAGAGCGTACCGGCTGACCTTATCGGGGTCCAAGGTTGTGACCTCTTGACCCTTTTCCGCCCGGGAGGAGAAGTACTTGCTGAACGCAGCCAGGATGTTGCGGTGGGCTCTGAACTCCACGTCCCTCACCATTATGGTTATATCACACAGGAAGTCCATCTCCCGCTGTTGGTGTAAACGCTGTAAGAGCAGCTTCCCGTGATTGGTGACGTGGGCCATCTCTGCAGCTGGTTAACGAAAGGGAAGAGACAGTCACCGTTAATGCCACCGGTTGTCTCTGTTTGCCTTCGTACTGTCCTCTGGGAGGCGCTGTACGATGCTGAAGCTGAGAATATTCATCAGATATCAGCAAGACACAGTTTCAAAGGTCAAACACAACCTTTAAATATGCTACAAGACTTTTATTGTGTTGTTTTTTTGTATTTCTGTGATGGTTTTTCTATATTTTAAAAGGTTGTTTGAATTCATGTGCACTAACAAATATTGAACAGCTGCTGCTCTTCCAAGAACAAAGACAAATAAAATTGTATTTGACTCAATTTTAAGTTATTATGTTATTGTAACTGCCAGTCAAGTCTGCAGTAATCAGTTAATTAGTCTTTTCTAACACCAAAAAGTTTTACTGGGATGAAAATCTAAACAATTAACAACTATTTAATCTACAAATATTATAAAACAAAGCTACATTCAAAGGATAAAAGTTATACAGGAGTATTTTATACACATTTGGTGCTTTAATGTGTATAAACAGGCAGCAGGACGGAGAACCAGACTCCTCCATTGTGTGTCCAAGTACTTTATCTATGAGTATTTAATACGTAGGGCTGCACAATTAATCACAATATCATCAAAATCACCCAGTGCAATAACCAAATCCTATAAAGGTTTATTTAAAAGGTAAAATGTGTAACCAGACAGCATTATAATGAAGTATTGTAGTGCTGCAGACATTCCTGACCTTTAAATCTGTAAGAAAACACTTGTTTGTTTGTTTGTTACGGTGACAAACAAACTTCACATTATCATCATTTTAACAGGTTTTTATTTTTAAAACTTAAAATTGTGGCGCACAAATGCTCATCCCCACTGATTGTGAGTAATAAAACAATCCCAATAAGTTCAGATACATTAAACTAACATAATAACAATCTGAATAAAGTTTAATAATGTGTTTACATTACTCACCTGGTTAAAAAAAAATCCAATGTCAGAGCTAGAAAACACAAGAAGGAAACTTCAGTTAAATTAAAATAACCCAGATAAACAGAATATTTGCTTTAATGAAACATTTAAAAATAAAAGCACTAACTTTCTCTCAGTAGTGTGTCCGCTCCAGCTCCTCTCTAACTCTCTGTATCGCAGCTTTCTCTGTTGGAGACAGCTGTGAATGAAAGAGGGGACACAACCACAGTGTGAACAACCTCAAACAACCCACACAAACACTTCTGAACACATTTCTTTCTCTGATCCAGCAGCCCTGACAGGTGAGCTGGGTTTGGAAAATAAAAGCTCCCGCCTGCTTCCTGAGCGGGCCTCACGGACATGCTAATGCTAACAGCGGTGTCGTAGACGGCTTAAAAGCGACTTGTGATGGTTGTCGGTGGTGGGGCACAGACGTACGGACGCTGTGTGTGCTATACGAGCCGCCACAGACGCGACTGCAGCCCGTCGGTGTCCAATAGGAGCGGGCGGTGTGTGGAGCTAGAGCTAGCTGTGTCTGTGGCGGTAAAAAGCGCGGAAAACATTGTGCTCTTATTTCGAAGGTTTCGACGGTTCGTACCGGCGGCGTCGGCGTCAGTTGGCACAAAATGTCGGATAAATCTTATTTCAACGACGAGCCTTGCGAACCCGTCGGCAGTTTTTATACGTTGTCTGCGCAAACGCAGCATTTTAATCCGACAACAAAGTAAATAAAAGCAGGAAAATAAAGTACCTTCTAATATCCGCGATCTCCAGCCATTATCCCGTGACGACGAGAGATCTCGCGAGACCTCGCCGTGCCGACAAAGATAGTCGACGCGGGCAAGATGAACACCGCCACGGCTGCACGACGGACGGGAGTTAGGGATGGTTACTATCCCGAAGTATAGGCCTCAGCAACAAAAAGACCGGATTTTCTTTTTAATTAAAGTCTGAATTTGTCCCTGTTTTGTCTTTTTGTTACACTTTTTCCAAAGATATTAGATTCTACTTGTGATCCTTTATTTTGAAACTTTCTCTCACGCAGGTAGGCAGGCAGATAAAAAACAATAAAATAATCTAAAAAAGATGAACAAATCCAAATTATACAGAGTTTAATTGTTTATTATTATTAATTAAAATTAAACTATTTTATATATGCTTACACACACACACACACACACACACACACACATAGGCTATATATACATATCAAATAATTTATACTTTCTCAGGAAACCTCTCTTCATTTTATGCCACTTTTATACTTTTTACTCCATTACACCACTTGCTGATTCAGATTATTAATATAAAATATAAACCAACCGATAAATGACTTTATGGTTTATTATTATGGATTAATACTTGAGTAGCTGAAATAACCTTTACCAGCAGCCAAACTAAACCCATTACATAAAATTGATCCATTAATATTGTATTATTACACTGCAGTGCTTTCACTTCAAAGATCTTCTTCCACCTCTGGAAAATACTGTGTTGAACTCTCAGTTTTACAGGATTAATGTGATTTATGATCTCCACAGTAAAGAGATTTAAATCTCTGCAGGTGGAGTTTAATGTGGAGATAAATGAGCTGAATATTGAATCTATTCCCGTTATTATCCAACCCTCTCATCATCAACTGTTCTATGTTTAATATTATGTAATTTTCCAGATGTTTTAAAATCATTTGGTTGCCTTAAAAATAATGTGAGATCCTTATTCTTTTCAAACGAGTCTCATTAATCTGCAGCGGGGGCTTGAGTTTGGCGTTTATCCGGAGCAGGCTGCCACCCAGGGAACCATTTTAGCTCCTGAAATGAGTCATTAAAGCTTCATGGCCTCAGAGCACGAGCAACCCAACACGCTGCAGCTGTATTTATTGTTGACAAGATGAAACTTTTATGTGCACAATGGGCTGGGAGAGACTCTGTCCTCATTTAGCATTTAGAGGCACCATATAACATTTTAGTTTTTAATGTACAGTAATTCTACCTGTATGAAGATATGTTTTATATTATCACAACAGTTTTACCAGTTCAAACTGTAAAATACATCAATAAACACTTTATATCTGCTTATAACTACATTATAGTGTGTTTATTTATTACATTTATTAAAAAACATTTATTAAATGCTTGTATACTGCATATAAATGCTAAATAAGGAGACTTAAAGTAATTTGTTATAAAATCTGAACAATATCTCAGAAAAACTTATGACACAGGATGATTAGATTGTAATGAAATAAACTGGAGACACTGATATTTACCTTCAGACTATATGAACAACGTGTAAAATAGCTATGAATATACAACTATAAGACGTAAAGAAAGAAAAAAGAAACATTATGGTTTGTTCAAAGCAGTAGTTCCCAACCTGGGGGGTCGGGAAGCTTCATGGGGGGTCATGAGGCCTTTTTGATTTTAGGGTGTGCTAGAAAACTTAAAAATTAGGGACAAAAAAATATTGAATTTGTTAAAAAAAGAAGCTTGTTAAGTCTGTATGACTGTTAAGTATATATATAAACATAATACAGACAGAGAATTGAATCAAAAGTTCCTTAAACAGCAAATAATCTGCTCAAAATTCATCCAAATCTCTCGTTTTACACAAACCTCCTGCAGTCACTGAGCTCACTTTGGGTCTTGAATATAGTTTAGAATAAAATCATCAGTTTACTAAAAGATAAAAAGGATTCCTTGGGGATAAAGGTTGGTTTGCTTTAAAGGACCAGTGTGTGAGTTATTTCTGTGTACTGAGTGAGTCAGTGTGGTAAACAGGAGAAGGGAGAGTGTCGGAGAGGTTACAGCCTTTTCGTCTGCATTAGATCGGCTGAGAGTTCCTCGAGGGCAGTGAGAGAAGAAGAGAGGCAGGAAGGCAATTAATCGATCTCTGTATCAAGTTTGACCTGCGGCACCGCTGACGAGTCTCCATCAATATCAATAACTTAATAATGTAAAGGAATTAATGTTAAAATAGACACACAATCCTTCCTGTAACAGGGTTTTGTTTGATACTGTGAATGTTATTTTTTTGATGAAAGTTACTTACTGTGGCTTTAAATGAAAGAAGCATCAACACACTGGGAACATATTTCAGTGTAAAAGTCCTGAATTAAAAGTCCTACATAAATATCAACAAAATGCACTTACATTTTAAAAAGTAGACGTATTTATTGTGCAATAAAATTGTCTAAATGTTGGATTAATATTACCTGAGACCTGTACTGTACATTCAAAGCCCTTTCTAGTTATATTCTTTATTAAATCATTGCTGTATATTTATATTTTTCTGTCCGTTATTCTATTTTTTTTCTTGATATCTTGTGTTTTTCTATTTTATTTTGTTTATTTAATGTGTATTTGTAATGTGTTACACATCTGGAGCTGCTGTAACAAGTGTGGGCTCAATAAAGTCTCTCTTATCTTATTACTGCTGCATTTTACTTGTATTAATGTTTAAGGTGTTTACAGACAAATGTAATGGAGTACAAGTATAAAGTTACATACAATGGAAATACTAAACTAGTACCTCCGATTCTACTTAAGAAAGTTACATTGAACCACTGTTATTATTAGTATTCAGATGTATTACTCGAGTAAATATAGAAATATGTCGTACTTGAGTGCATCTCCAGTGTACTAAGTATTATCAGCATGATTATTAGTAATTATAGCTGTCAGTGTAATAAAAAGTACAATATTTAAAGTAATGGAAGAGAAATATAAAGTTACATATAATGCAAATACATGTAAAATACCTTAAATTACTTGAGTAAATATACTTAGTTACATCCAGCCACTGTGTAAAGACCAGGGAGTGGAAGAAGTACAATATTTAAAGTTTAAGTACATATTGAGTAAATGTTCGTGGTCACATTTCACTACTAGAAAAAGGAAACATATCAGCATGAGTGAAACTGTTTTTGCATTATTACACCGTGAGCAGTTATCAGTCGCTGCCATTCTGAGCAGCTGAAGTTGCAAATGAGGAGCTGAGGAGACGCAAAGACCGCAAGATGAGATTAGATCCTTTAGCAGCTCGACACGTCTGAGCTGGGAGAGAATTACACGCACTGCTCCTTCAAATGCTCCTTCATTGCTCTTTTAATACTCCTTTAAATGCTCATTTAATGCTCCTTTAATGCTCCTTTAATACTCCTTTAAATGCTCCTTTAAATGCTCCTTTAATGTTCCTTTAATGCTCCTTTAATGCTCCTTTAAATGCTCCTTTAATACTCCTTTAATGCTCCTTTAATGCTCCTACAATAGTATGCTTTGCCATAATACTAAAATAGTTCAAATTATAGAAAATTCTTCAGATTGTTCACACGCAACAATTTTTTTATTTTTCATCAAACAAGTCAGTGCAACATCTGCACAGCAGATAAATTTACATTGGAGTTAACACAAATATGCTCACAAAAAACAGTACATTGAAAAAGAATATTAAAAAGATATATTATCACATATCTTCCACCGCCATGCCGAAAGTAACTCTTCTGTGGGGTTCAGAAGTGGTGAGTATGGTGGGAAGTATTGCACGAGAAACGGTGGGTGGTCATCAAACCAGTTTTGGACTGGGGCTGCACGATGAAGGCTCACGTTGTCCCGTACTACAACGTACCAGTTTCTTTGATGGTCTGCATCATTCATACACTCTGGTGGTACGAGAACGTTGTGTTGTATGGTCCAAGGTTGGCATGACGGTGGAGGACACCATGCGTATTGGAGATGGCAGTGATGTTCCCCCCATGTTGGCCAGGAACATCTATAATGGCTCTGTGGCCAGTGATGTTTCTTCCCCTTCTTCTGGTTGAACCCAGCTTCATCTATAAAGATGAACTGAGTACTCCCAGAAAACAAAGAACAAAAACCAGTCAATATGGTGTTATCCAGTGTACTGGGAAACAATGCTGCGTGTCGTGTACCGCAGTCAATATTATACATCCACATATGCTCGTCTGAGCTCTTTGTTTCTTTGAGAGTTTCTCTCAAAAGGCTCCTTATAAAGTTGTTTCACTCTGATTTGGTTTCGTTGAGAATGCGAGCCGATGTGGACGGACGGACTCATTGAATGTTGTTGAATATGGCAGCTTCCTGAACCCCGGTGAACATTTGGCCCCTTCCTCCACCGCGGTTGCGTCTCTCAGTCCTTACTGATATAAAATATAGGGCTTGGACAATGCAGCCTAAAGATATTCCCCCCACAGTAGAGTACGGTTACTGTATGACATCAGCCATTCATGAAGTAAACAGGTGTATACACTGACACAGGGTGTACTACATAGTGTGAAAGAAATGTTGGTTACATACCTGTACTCCAGTCTAAGTGTCCGGATGAGAGAGGCGACAGCACTCTCTGTCCAGCCTCTCGCCTGTGGTCTTTTTAAAGTGCTTCCTTCCTGATTGAAGTGGTAACAATGAAGCACTGAGGTGTTTGTCCAGGTGGATCATATATTGGCCACTCAGCTCGTGTAGTGTCATTTTGATTGGCAGAGTTTTGAAATGGCAAACGTGACTTTATGTCAGATTGTTGTTATGCAGAGAAGCATCAGTGCATTTATAAAGTAAAGCAGAAAATGTGT